CCAGCCATGTTCTCTTCGCCCCGGGCCCGGAACAACGCGCTGCTGGTCTTTTCCGCCGGTGCAATCGCGGCCAATGCCCTCCTGTATGGTCGCTTCACCGGCCCGACCAAGACGGATGCCCCTGTCGACGCCGCCGCCGCCGCCGCCGCCGCCGCCGCCGCCGGTCCTTCTCCCCCGACCGGGCCCTTCCTGCATGAGCCGCCCGCCCGGCCGACCCCGGTGACCGGGTACTCGCTGCCGGTGGCCGGCGATGCACCGGCCGGGGCCAACCTCCGTGCCAACCTCTACAATGAGCGCGAGTGGGATTGGAACTGGGATGGCCGCCACGAGCAGTACCTGGCCCGAGTGGCGGACTTGCGCGAGCGCGAGCGCGCCGAAGGCCTCAAGGAGGGGACCCTCTCGCGGCGGCGCCCATCGCACCATGTGCTGCTCATTCGCCATGGACGCTACTACCAGGATGAGAGCCAGAGCCACCGGCGGATGTTGGACATCGTCGGCGTGGCTCAGGCCAATCTCCTGGGCAACCGCCTGTCGGGCCTGCTGACGGCCAGCCGGCCGCCGGTCACCGGCGAAGAGGCCCCCCTGTCCACGGTGCCGGCCCTGCACAGCTGCATGCCTCTGGCCGTCAAGACTTGCGATGCCAATGTCCGGCTGTACAGCAGCGACGCCCCGCGGGCTTTGCAAACCGGCCTCATTGCCCGGCATCAGGCCCTGATTGCGGCCAACGCCCAGACCGGCGGCTCACGCGTGCCCCTCAACATCGTCGTGGATGCCGACCTGCGCGAGGGGTTCCCCTGCGTGCCGGGCCCCATCCCGGACAATGCCAACGGCGCGCGCGAGATGCGCCAGTGGACCCGGCGCATGGGCAAGGCCTACCTGGCCGAGGAGCCGCTCAAGCTGGAACGCGCCTTCCGCCGGTACATCCACCGGCCGGCCAGCGACCAGACCGTCGACACGGTGGATGTCATCTTCTGCCATGCCAATGTCATTCGGTGCGTATGTGCCGGATTGGGGGAGGGGAAACGAATAGGGCGGCATTCCCCTGCCGGCGGTTTTGTCGATTGCTCTTGTTGCTCGGCCGGAGGGGCTGCCCTTCCCGGCACTCGGCCCCGCCCCGCACACGCGCCACTCTCCCCGGAACACTTACCCCCCCCCTCCCCCCCTCCACCCCACCCCTCCCGGTCACCCCTTTGGCCCGGCGCCCGCCGGTGTCGCTGGCCCTCCCAAATGCACATGCGCACATGCAGCTACTTCACCACTCGCGCCATGCAGTGGCCTTCCAGCGACTGGCTGCGCATGCTGATCCCCCACACCTCGATCACACAGCTGACCATTCGCCCAGACGGCCGGGTGACCCTCTCGGCGCTGGCGGACTCGGCTCACACCCAGGCCTGGCCACTGCTGCACACGACGGCCGGCCACACGGACGACCACTCGCCGACCGACGAGTCCCGCTCGCCGGACAGCCTCGGTGCTCACATCCACCGCGACGAGCACCTCCAGGCGGGCAACCCCTCTTCGGAGGTGGCCGCCGCGGCGGCCCTCTCCGCCATGCACACCGGCAACATGCGCATGCCGGGCGTGGTGGGCGGCTCCCATGGGCTGGTTGACGTCATGCCGGACATTGTCAACCTCGGCTTCGGCGGCGGCGGCATCTGCTCCTACATCTCCAGCGGCAAGTCTTCCCTCAGTGAGATCGACGAAGCCCCGGCCTCCGAGGCCGACATCTCCTCGCTGGAGAAGGTCAAGAAGTGAGTGTCACGTGAGCGACTGCCCACGGATCTCGCCCCCCGGAACGTCGCCCGGCGGCCGCCAGTCTTCTTCCTGTTGCACGGATGGGATGCGGGGGGATGCGGGGGGATGCGGGTGCGCACCGCAAGGATGCCTGCCCGTGTGCCGATGGCCCTGGACGCAGGTTGTGCGTGCACCCGCCCACCGGTCTCACACCCCCGCCGCTGGGCGGGGGCGAGAAACAACAACAATCATCATAATACACCAGGCGTGTGTGCCTCATTTTGCTTCCCCCCCCCCCCCTGCATGAGCCGGTTCGTGGAGCAGGGGAGAACGTAGGGGGCAGGGCTCGGGGCAAAGTGTGCGAGATCGACCGGCCCCGCCGGTGAGTGGGCGCGCCCGCTTGAGACATGTGTCTGCTGGCGGGATGAGCATGCGCTGGCGGGTCGCCTGGGGGCGGCCGGCAAGGGGGTCAATGTGCCCTGCACACTGCCGGCCCGGCGCCCCCATGCTTGGAGGCATGAGGCAGGGCCAGGCCGCAGTTGGCCCGGGCAGAGACTCCGCTCACATATCTCCACACACACACACACACACGCACGCGCACACCCACACCCACATGTCCCCCTGGTCGCCGGCAATCTCTCCTGTTCTTGGGGGAGATCGGCGCCTATTTTCGAGCCCACTCTGCCGCCGCAGGTGTGGTCAGCGATCCACCCACACAATACCCCGTCGCCCTGTCTTGCTCTTCTCTCTCTCGGTCCTCCCCCCCCCCCTGTCTCTCTCTC